CACCAGGTGTTGACATGACCTAAATTTTAATAGTTCCCAATCCTTCCAGAGATTGCCACAGAATAGCTCGCTTCAATCCTGTTCACGTCAGCTGTTCTAGGTATTGGGTTCCCGAGTTCACCATGGTGACTGCTGCCTGACATGGTAGTTGAGTGGCGTTAGTTTTCCACTAAATAAACTTGAGTGAGATAATAAAGAATGCTGGTCTTGAAATCAGGGCACAAGTAAAAGCTTAGAAAGATAAGAGGCTTAAGGTGAGCTTGCTTAGAAACATACCAAATGTTTACCTAGAGAAGTGTGCTTTTTTTGTAGTACATCAACAAAAAGTATTATTCTGTCTTGAAGCTGAAGGATATTCACTTGACAAAATGAAGAGTTGACTGTTAACCTGAAAAAAATTGATCTTTGCCAACCCATGTGCTTGGAAACCCTTGTGTTCTGTTCTTCAAGTGAGATTAGCTGCCAGTTAAGGAAGTGAGATGTACATAAGGACACATGGTGTGATGAGAATTGATGACCTGTAACAATGTAAAATGTTCGGAATGTGACCTGTTTCTATCCATTAATGTGTCATCTTCCGTGTTTTTCTGGCTGAAGTAGTAGTAAGTGAGCACCCAAGCACTTCTCTTGACGTCAAGCCTTGTAGTTTACTGGTACACTACAGTCAAATGTCTTAAGGAAATAACAGACCTAAGTAGCTCAATTCAGCACAGTAATCTGTGAAAGTAAATGTCTAAAACTAAGTTACCTGAGTTAACCATAACTGTGTCACCTGATGTAAACTTGACTTTTTGAAATAAAACTTTATTGGATCTTGCTCTTTAAACTGAGTTTTACAATATTAGATACTAGCTGTTATCATTGTACGGTAGTCATTTTATGCTTTGATTATTTTTCTCCCTCTTTGAGAAGGACTGGTATTTTATCTTGAAGTCTCCTCACACATAAATATTTAGCTTAATATGAAAGCATATGGTCTTTGACAGTGATTGAACCATTTTTTTAAAATTTAAAACTTTCTGTTTTGAAAAAAAATCAAATGGAGCAGGTAAGAGCCTCAAGTTGTATGTCTCACTGCACTAACTGCAGAGAACTAATGCCTCAGATACAGTTATGAACATTGTAGTTTAATAGTTTAATTAAAAAATATATTCATCTGAGAACCAACTTGAAGAGAGTCTAGTGAGTGTATTTGAAGCTCTGGGAAACGTGTTCAGAAGACAGCAGTTGATGCTGTTTAGTCAACAAAGGTCCATGCCTTTAAATGTGTAAGAGGTGACAGCAGCAAGGAGGGCACTGACTCATATCCTGAAGGTGTCTGCTAGCATGCAGATTAAGCTTCCTTGTGCTTTTCTTTCTGGTGGTGATTCCTTCCTGGTCATGCATTGCCCTTTCTGGTCTGCTGGCATACTTTTTTCCTTACATCTATGTGAGGATCTTGTCTGGATGAAAAATAACTAAGGAAAAGTTCTATTTTACCTTGGTGAGTTCCTGCTCTGTTCACAGTGTCACTGAACAGATGTTAAATTGGCACGATTGAAGGAGTGGTAAAGGGACAAGCTGTTTACACAACAGTTCCTCTAAAACCTGCAGTAGAAAGATCTTCGTGCATAAGCAGCTGTAGTCTGCTGTACCACACCCAGCACTCTTCCTATGTGTGCACGTGCTTTCCTTGCCCATACAAAACAATTATTTCCATCTCAGTTGTTTTTTCTTAATGGTTTTGTAAGACTAGAGTTGGGGAGATGGTGGCTGTTTCTTCTACTGAGACTTCTACCCACTTAAAAAAATATAGTGGTGGTGCTGCTGTTTTCAGATTGTTAGAAGTACAGTTGTTAAAAGAATATGTTCAGAACAAATGCAGTTGGCTAAAACAAATGAGTCCTACATAGTTCTTTTGCTCAGGGAAACAAGTAGCCATTTAATAAAAACATGTCACTACAGCTTTTTCTTAGCTTCTAATCCACTCTTTGTTTAATGTAAACATTGGGATTGGCTGTAGGCAAGTCTAGGGAGCAAAACATACAACTTGGTCTTGTTGCTGAAAGATGATGAAATGTAAGAAAACGTAAAGATTTTACAATTCTTTAATAATGCAAATACATGGATTCAGGACAGAGAGGTGGGAGAGAGATAAGATAAGGAGTTATTGCTTGTTTACTGTGGTAGGGTTTTTTGTTTCCCTTGGAGGCCTCTTTTAGAAAAGCTGAAAGTGTGAAACACTTCGGAAAGAGTAGTAAAATGACAGGAATGATATGCTAGTTATTCAAAGTCACGTTGTTAAAAATGCTTTACTAAACTCAAATGGGACCATTTTATTTCAAAACTGTATAGATTTAACTAAATGTGACAACATTATTGGCTTCATAGACTGAGGTATCATAGTTTTCTGAGCTCTCTGTAGAAATGATTTAATCTGTATTAAATAGATGTAAATATTTGCCTATGATTTCGGGTCTACAGTTCTTTGCATTGAGTTGTTTCCTTTTTCAGAGAGGTCAACAGGCCAACAGTGTACAGTGCAAATGCATCCTTCTAATCTACCTATCTAGCATTATAATCTAATAACTCATACATGCTTAATTCAGAACTTGTCTTGTGCCACTTAAGAGTGTAAAATAATAGGTAATCTCTAGGTCTTTTTAAGTATAAGATAAAGATAGCTGAAAAGATTACTTGCCTCTCTTCGATATATTTTTTGAAATATGCAAAATTTTTTTTATAAGAGATTCTAGGGGCATTGAGATACCTGAACAAAACTAATTTCAGAGGATATCTTTAAGTCTAATTTGATCATGATAGATGTTTGTTTGCTTCATTAACATTTGGGTTTTTAAAAAAATATTGCTGATTTTAAAAATACTCAAAATTTTAATTGCAGTAAATTGGGAGCTTAACTTGCAGGGCTACAACTGCAAACAGTATTTTGTGTAGATAATTAAGAGCGAAGCAGGCAGATTAACAGATCCTTGCACTTGCCAGGACGTTGTGGTAGGTTAGTGTTTCTTTCACTTTGGAGAGCTGTTTTGGTGGAGAAACAAGCAAAAAACCTAACTTTGTTCTCCTTCTAAAGTACTTGACTTTCTGTCTTTTTAGTTCTTTGACCTGTTTTTTTGTGGGATGAGATGAGATTTGGTGCCAGTACAAACGAAGACTTGGCAAATGTGTGGCTGCAGAGTAGTGAAAGGCCTTGGACCACCATTCCTTTTGGTCACAGCTGTTAGTGTGCCCATGAGTTGTAACTGAAGTGGTATCTGAGTGGTAAGGTTGTATAATAAATCCCTACAGAGAATAAAAATCAGCATTATGTATTTCTTGATCCCCAGTTTTCTCATAATCCTTCAATATTTCTAGTTTATATGATCAGCTTGACTAATTTTTCACCATCAGTTTTGTTGCTGTCCATAAATGCACACTGTAAGGATGGGATCTCTACTTTAATATCTCTTAATGAATTGACAAAAGCTGCTAATCTTGTAAGGTTCTTAACTGAAATAATGTCCATTTCAAGTTGTAATCTCCCACTTGCTAGGAGGTTGGGAAATGAGATGATTGTTCCAGGCAAGAACTGTATTCAAATGAATGTAAGAGAAACAGCAGTAAGTATGCACTTGTTGTTATTTGATGCTCATTAGATAGCTGTGTGAGACTTGAAGTACGGATGTTAAGACCGTAGCAGTGACAAATTCATGGCCATGGATATCAATACAGTGCTATGTTCAGATGGTTTATTTTTTGCTTATATATGGATATAAAGTACTAAACGATGTGATGTATCCTGTTTGTTTCACTTTTTTTATGCAAGTCTCTATTTACACTACAAATCTTAAAAAAGTTGTCATATGCATGTTAATGTGGTAGTAAGTGAATGCACCTGATCTGAGTAATTCGGTGACAGGAAACCTTACACTTCAGTGAAGTAAGGCAAGCAATAGTGAATGTGATTAATAAATTGCTTTCTGGAGAGTTGGTAAGTCTCTGAAAAAGAGATTATTTTTTAATAATTTTGTTTGTGTCTCAGAGAAAGTTAATGGGTTTTGTGCTTTGAGTAGAATAGAGATGATGAGCTAAATTACCATGATGGATTTTCTTCTTTTTCTGCTGGCCTTGGAAGAAGCTGAAGAGGGGGATTTAAAGGCAGCTTGTTGATTATCATGGGGGAGGAATACTGACCTCAACCTGCTTAAATGCATTGCAGCTCTGTGTTAAGATGACTGTCTTGTACTTCAGTGCTTCAGCTGGTTATCTGCTTTATAGTTCCTGATGTATTTTAGGGTTTAGCCTGTGTTCAGTCTTATGTGAAACATTTGGTCATGGCTGAAAAAACTAAATTCAGGTTGATTGGTTGTGTAGCTGGGGAACTAAGAGAATCTGTTTAAGTCTCATACTCACATGCTCAGTATTGAACTGGTTGTCAGAGTTGAACTCTTAAACTTTTTTTTTCTGCTGGCACTTCTATCAACAGAAGGGTACTTTTTATGCTTCCTGCTGGAGTTTAAAGCATGAAGTGTCTGGGATTATGTAGGCATCATTTATTTAAACGGTTCACTTGTGTTGCAAGGATAATGATGACCTATTTTGTTTTTTTGCCTGTGAACTGTGTAGCATAAACTGCATAGGGAGTCAGACTAGAAGATCTTAGTATGCTTTCTGGTTTTAAACTTCTGATACTATAATGACATAGTACATGCTTTCAAATGCATTTGGTTTTAATAAGGCAGCTTCAATTTCCTGATTTTTAGGTGAATTTTTGAGTGTATTGTGCATGTACTGAGTATGCTGTAGAGCACGTTCACAGTACATGGAGGCTGACAGTCTGCAGCCCTCATACTTTTATTTACATGGAGGGAGAAGAAAGTGTTATCAAAAATATACTTCATAGAAGTTTTCTTCTACTAATAACACTTTGACTTTGTAAACAGCAAAATGCTGTGAATGAAATGCTGTATTTTTCTTTTTAGGTTTAAGAAGGCTAAAGCTTCACTGGAACTGTAATTAGAATGGACAGTTACTTTAAAGCTGCACTCTGTGACTTGGACAAACTACTTGATGAATTTGAACAGAATACAGGTTAGTTCCTGTGCTGCCTTGTTCTCCAGCATAATAATATTGGTCAAATTATTTACTGTGGAATTTGAAAGTAACATATGCCAAGTTAAAGCTTGTATTAATAAATAAATCAGATTTAGAGGGAGTAAACTGTGGAAAGAGAGGAGTTTTATAAACTTTGCTTCTGATCTCTTTTTGCTTAAAATAGATGAATATGACTGCTACAGAACACCTCAAAATCCATATGACTCAAAACACCATTCACTTTCTTCAGTTCTGGATTGCTTACAACATGTATACCCAACACCAAAACTGCAAGAGGATGCTAACAATCATACTTCATCAGAAGAAATCTCTCTAGCTACCCACACTGGAACAAGTGAAGTGCTTCAGAGTTATTCACCACAAAATGAGAAGAACGTTGCTGGACCTGATCTTTTGTCCACTGTGGACAGTGGTTCCTTAAATGAAATTCAGGTTTCAAACCTGGGAAGGTGTAGTATACCTGTGTGTGATCTTGTTAATGACACAGGTAACATAATCCACTCGGTGACTACTCATGAAAATACTCAAAATTTGCAACCAGATGACTTCCAGTACAGTGAAGGTTTGATTGGCTTTGGTGTATCTTGCATACCTGTTGCCGCTTATGTGTCATCAGCAGGTTGCAGTGGTACAGAGCAGACTGATGGGGACTCAATGCTACAAGATTCAGGACACCTTAAAACAGAGGAGGTTAATCATCTAGCTTTAAAATCACACAGTAATGCTACAGCAAAGATCTTGGATCCACGTGATTATCAACGCAGAACGGAATCTTTGAAGTGCAGTGAAGTACTTGATCAGCTTGAACAAAGTGCTTGCCTTAATACTGCCTCTGTCCCTGTAACATCACAGAATTTGAATGTGTACAGTCCCAAAGATGAGAAAGCATATGAAAAATTGCCTTGTGAACCACAAGATGAAAGTGGATGCTCTGCAGTAAACAAAGAGATTTATAGAACGAATGACACAGAAAAGGCAGATTCAAAAGATGAGAGTAATGTTGAATCCATGCCTTCAGATCTGCCAAAGAGGCCTCAATTTCACAAAAGCCATGAAACATTACCTGGAAATTGTGTTTTAGCAGACTCCTCATATCAATCAACTAAAGTAGAATTGGAAAAAAAAATCACAGAGTACAATGTGGGTAGTGAAGTAATTAAGAGCAGTGAAATACTCAACAGTGTTTCAACTTCGTGTATTTCAGTTGAGGATGTCCAGACCTCGCTGTCATGTCTTCCGCTTCCTCTATCTATCAGTGGTTCAGTAGTTCTAACAGAAGAAAAAGTTAATCCTCTACCTCGAAATGAAATGACAGAGGTTAATAGTGATATTTTAACTGTTCATGATGGAAAGTCTAAAACTGATCACTCTGGTAGTGAATCCTGTGAAAATATTGACTTGCATGAACAGGAAGGATATATAGCTAAAATTAATGAAAGTATTGTGGAAAAAAGTACAGATGGAGAGGAGTATGATACTGAGAATGTAATTGATGACAGCGATTCTCAGCAAATCAAAACTTTTCCTTCTGCTTTTCTGGAATATGAAGCTGAGCCATATGGTGTTGGTATAGACCCTTACTACAATGAAAATATGAGCCCTGTTATGGCTGACTTTACTGTTGAGGAGAATATTATTAAAAGTGATACTCTGATAAGTGATGCTGAGCTTGATGATTTCTTGTATGGACAAAGTCTTCAGTCCAATGTGTTGAGCTCTTCAGACAATGATAGTAACGTAATGGAAGCTGATGCAGTTGCAGGGAATTCAACAAATGTGAATGACCTGGATCCCACAGAGGTCACTGAAGAACATACGCAAGCAAAACTGGAGGAGATAACTAGCATTAATAGTAGTCTTAAAGTATCTCTTACTGCCGGTGAGTCAGTATCTGTAACAAAAGAGAATGCATCTCGTATTCAGGATCTGACTGAGACTGGTAATGAAGCGCTAGTTTCTAATGTTTGTACTGAAGGTGCGAGACCAAAGCAGTTGCTTGGCCTTTCCCAAGGAGCTGTTGGTCAGAGACAACTGAATAAAACTGATGTACTTGAGAGACAAAACCAAGAAGCCAGTTCAGTTGCCCCAGAAGCTCTACTTTCAGGCACCAGCATAAATGTTTGTAAAAATTCTGAACCTGTACACTCTGGGGAAAGCAGCTCTGAAGCTGGAGGAAATCAAACACCTGAAAACATAGAATCACTTAAAATACCTGCAGCTTTCTCATGGAAACAACCGTTGTGGGTTCCTGATTCAGAGGCACCCAACTGCATGAAATGCCAAGTCAAGTTCACGTTTACAAAAAGACGACATCACTGTCGTGCATGCGGAAAGGTGAGTTACTGGAGAGGGGTTCCATGTTGCTGAAACCAAATGAATTCTGATTTAGGGATAACCAAACTACAGAAGAGAGACAATATTGTTCCTGCTCTTTGAGTACACATTGTGTGGCTTGTCTATTATCTGAAAGTTTTTTCATGAGAGATGAAGATAACAGGCTTGAATATTAGGCTGAAGAGGGTTTAGAATCAAACAAGTGTATTTCTTGGAAGAGTTTTGCAATTGCTGTGCAATTGTATACCAGCTGCTTCCAGCTATGATCTTAAAAATAAAAAAAAAATTCAGTCCAATTTTAGCAAGTTTGTGGGCACCTGGCCTTGTGTAATTAGATCCACTCACAGCAAAAAAATTTAGGTGCTGCTCTGTTTGATACCTGAATCTGAGACAATATTGGCAAGAGCTGAGTGTGTAGCTGTGTAATGTGGACATTCCTGGCCACGTGTGGAAGGTTGGTTTGTAGAAATCTAAGGATTGCTTTGGTCCAACAGAAATACCTGCCAAATTTCAAAAGCTTATGGTATGGGTAGATTGTGGTGTAGTTCTGGGGAACAGGATAGGAAGAACCCCTGATCAAAAGCAGACTTGAGAGACTTTGTAGTCTGACCCAAATTGTGGCGCTCTTGAGATTCATAATCATAGCATTGTAGAATGGTTTGGGTTGGAAGGGACCTTTATCATCTAGTTCCAGCTTCCCCTGCCATGAGCAGGGACACTCTCTGCAAGACTAGGTTGCCCAAAGCCCCATCCAACCTGGCCTTGAACACTTCCAGGGAGGGGGCATCCAAAGCTTCTCTGGGCAACCTGTGCCAGTGCCTCACCACTCAAACAGGGAAGAATTTCTTCCCTATATCTGTTTGAAATCTGCCTTCTTTCAGTTTAAAACTACTGTCCCCTGTCCTGTCACTGCGGGGCCTGGTAGAAAGTCTCTCTCCATCTGTCTTACAAGCCCCCTTTATATATTGAAAGGTTGCAATAACTTGTCCCCAGAGGCTTTTCTTCTCCAGGCTGAACAATCCCAACTCTCTCAGCCCATCTCCATAGGAGAGGTGGTCCAGCCCTTTGATATCTTTGTGGCCTCCTCTGGACTCAACTCCAACAGCTCCATGTCTGTCTTATGCTGGGGACCCCAGAGCTGGACACAGTAAAAGCCTTTTTAGTCTAGTACTTTCCCTTCTCCCCGAACAAATGTATTGTAAGATACGTAAGCTAAAGCTCCTTTTCTCCTTCCCTACTTCCAAAAATTGGTATGTGTACTTTATATGATACAAACTGTCTTAGTAAAATGAGTAAATGATAGGAACTTAATTCAGGAAATACTGGAATTTTGCCTGTAATATTCAATCTTTTTCTGGTTCAGGTTTTTTGTGGTGGCTGTTGCAAACGAAAGTGCAAACTACAGTACATGGAGAAGGAAGCAAGAGTCTGTACTGGCTGTTATGATGATATTAATAAAGGTAAAAAGGTTTTTTTGAGTATGTGGTGGGTTGACCCTGGCTGGAGGCTAGGTGCCTGCCAAATCCGCTCAATTGCTCCCCTCAACTGGACAGGGGAGAGAGAATATGACAAAAAGCTCATGGATTGAGATAAGGACAGGGAGAGATCACTACCAACTACCATCACGGGCAAAACAGACTCAACTTGGAAAATAACTGCTCCCCATCATCCTCCGTGGGTTGCAGGTATACAGCCTGCCTCACCATGGTCTTGTCTAGGAGCTGCAGGGGAATCTCTGCTCCAGTGCCTGGAGCACTTCCTCCTTCTGCACTGACCTTGGTGTCTGCAGAGTTGTTCCTCACATCTTGTCACTCCTCTCTCTGGCTGCAAAAGCTGCCGCTAGTTTTTTTTTCCTTAACTCTGTTACCCCAGAGGCACTACCACTGTGGCGGATGGGCTGGGCTGTGGCCACTGGTGGGTCCATCTTGGAGCCGGCTGGCATTGGCTCTGTCAGACGTGGGGGAAGCTTCTAGCAGCTCCTTGCAGAAGCTGTCCCTGTAGCCCCCCCACTACCAAAACTTTGCCATGCAAACCTAATACAGAGTAAGTGCAGTAATCATTAAAGAGTAATAGGTACAGCTAGTGTCCCTTTAAGCTTTGCTTTTTTGGGGGGAGCTTCACTACTTTGGTGCATGTTTTCCTATTTCTGAGATGTAGGGAAGAATCTAATCTCTTAGTTGGACTTCGTTTCTCATTTCAAACTTTGTGTAGCAAGCTGGTTATTTTTTATTAAAAAAAAAAGTGTGAACTCTGTAGGACTAAATATAAAGTTATGCTACTGGGTCGTTTGTGGCAGGAGTCTAGCAAAAGTTATTCTCCCTCCACAGCAGCCTGCTACATGTTTAAAGGCCATATGACCACTTGTTCTCACATTATTTGCCCATTTTATGTAGCTTTCTATCCTGATGTTTTTACAAGTCATTTAACAGTATTACAGTAAATCAATCATAAGATAACTTTTTCTTAACTGAAAGCTAAGCATTGGTGCTTATGGAAACATCAGGAGATAACTGAGGTCCTGGTTATTAATATTTAAATAACAAGTTGAAAACGTAGATTTTTAATATGCCACCTGAATGGAATTTGACTTGATTAAATGATATATGTATTTTCACCAAGGTATAGGGATCATACGGTTCAATGTAGTCACTGCAAAGTAGCAAGATGTACAAGGAGGTCTCTTCCCATGTTAAGAATGAATTAGGCAAATGTGCAGGTAGAAAATCAAGAAATCTAAATTTTCTTCTGTACAATAGCTTGAGTATTCATTTTTCATAACTAGGTTACAAATTGTGCACTGGTCTTGCAAAAATACCCATAAGACTGCACTGCAAACGAAATATAATCAATTGTGAGATCTTAAAAACTAACCACATTTTTTTAGCACAGGCATTTGAAAGGATGATGAGTCCAACTGGTCCTGTCCCCAATTCCAGTAACTGCTCTGAGTTTTCTGCTGCTCCATCTTTGGAGGAAGTCCAGATATCTGGTAGTGCTAGCTCTCCTTCACCTTCTGCATTGTTGCCTGTCTCAGTACTTAAACAACCTGGTATTGAAGGTATGCTAAATATAATATAATAAATGTCTAACACTGTCAGGATCTCTTTGGAGAGTGTTGTTTATTGCATCATGGATACATACTTGGTATACTGATATTTTCTGTGGGAAAGGGAAACTCTGGGACACTGGAAAGTTACTTTTAGTTCTCAGTTTTGATGCCATGTATGAGTTTGACCAAGTCCGTCTTAAGTCTGCATTTATGAAACATAGATGCTACAGGTTTTTTCATTGTCCTCTATTTATATTGTAATTTTTTTGTGTGCAGATACTACTTTAATTTTTATATAGCTTGGGAGATCTCTGGCTTGTGTTGTGACTGCCAGTCTTACAGTAAAAGCAAAAAGTAATTGTTTAGGGAAAGTTGCTAGGGAGCAGTAGAGGTTCCATCTCTGTGTAAATAGGAATGATTAGTGGCCAGGTAGTGTCTTTGTTCCACTTTTATTGAACACCTGACCTTCGTTCGTGAAACTAAGTTTTTTAAAAAGTGATAAACTAACTTTTTTTAGAGTGTATTTAATCGTATAGTTGTGATTTGTATTTCGTTCTTATCTTACTGCAGAGAGATGATTGAGGAAGTAGCCTTCCTTATTGTAGGAACTGATAGATTTAACTAAGCATGGCGATTCCTGTGCACCTATGAGATTTTCTTTTGCATGTATTAGCCTGATTGGAGACTGGCTTGGTCTATCTGTCTACCTGTGCTTGGTTCCAGTAAACAAATTATATATTTGGAAGGAGAAGGGGCTTAATTTTTATCCTTTTCAGCTATTAGAACAGTACAATAATATGAAGTCAGTGGTGTTTTCTTAACTTGTCCTAGGGCTGTGCCCCAAAGAGCAGAGGCGAGTTTGGTTTGCAGATGGTATTTTGCCCAATGGCGAAGTGGCAGATACAACAAAACTTTCATCTGGAGCAAAGAGGTCATCGCAGGACTTCAGTTCAGTAAACCCTGACTTGCCAGAGATGCATATGGTATGAATTAAGACATATCTGTAGGTGCATTAATATACCTTTGCTTGCTATTGATGGGGCCCCTTACATACCTTAATATGACTTCTGCTTCACAGCTTTTTGGAATCTGAGCCAATTACTTGATTATTTTTTTGTGGGTGGCTGTGAAGTCCTTGGATTGAAATATTCTGCAGACTTTACTTCAAAGGAAACCATGTTTGTTTTGGGGTGTATCTGAACTTAAAAATGGTACGGCAGAAAATTTTCCAAAACAAGGGGTTTTTTTTCTATATAGGCTTTAATTAACTACTATTATCACGGTAACTTCAGCCATAGTTCTGAAACCTGTCGTTAACATATATAGAAGTTATAATATATGATTATTATAA